GATCCTACTGCCTCTGCTTCCTAAGTACTGGGATTAAAAGTGTGCCATCATGTTTGTCTCTAGATGGAATTTTTATGATGTAGCGAGTTAAATTGCCTCAGATTGTTTTTTAGATGAGGTAGGATATGAGCAAATAAATAAAGTCACACTTTGAGAAGTGGTAACTGATACAAATTACTTTAACGGAGTTATCCACACTCCTTGGGCCCAGTGTTTTGTGTGTCCGTGTCTTCAAGCATCAGTAAAGTTGTTTAGTTGTCTTCTTTACTCCGGCTAGTGTTAGAGGCCTTCCCTACTGAATATGTCTGGTCACAAATCTGTGGTTTAGTAGGAGCCTGCTACTGTTCAGGCAGTCAGAACTGCCCTTTGGACTGATGAGCTGAACAGTGAAGAAATCTGAATTTCCTCATAATACTGTTCTCTCTTCTGAAACTCATAGGAGACCAGTCGATCTGTGGCAAAAGAAGGCAGCCACACTAGAAAGAATAAGGTTCTAATGAGTTTGTCATTTGGTTTCCTTGGTGCTAGGGATGCTGTAGTGAACAACAAATAGTCTCTGCTCTTGAGAATTTCTACTGATTTTCTAGAAATGCATAGTAGCCGGTGAGAGATATCCCATTTTTATTAAAGTTTAGGAAGACCCTCAGGAGCCCACTGTTGATATGTTGGAGGGCTGTCTGGATCTTATGCAGATGCAGCATTCTTAAGAATGTACATTTCATTTCTTTTTAAAAAAGATTTATTTATTATTATCAGTGTTCTGTCTGCATGTATGCCTACATGCCAGAAGAGAGCACTAGATCCCATTATAGATAGATGTGAGCCACTATGTGGTTACCTGGAATTGAACTTAGGACCTCTGAAAGAGTGCTCTTAACCATCTCTCCAGCCTGTTTTGGTTTTTTTTGGTTTTTTTTTTGGTTTTTTTTTTTTTTTTTTGGGTTTTCTAGGCAGGGTTTCTCTATGTAGCTTTGGAGTCTATCCTGGCACTCGATCTGGAGAACAGGCTGGCCTCGAACTCACAGAGATCTGCCTGCCTCTGCCTTCCGAGTGCTGGGATTAAAGGCGTGCACCACCAATGCCTGGCTGCAATTGACATTTATTGGTAGATAATGAAGGCAGATAGTTGGAAACTAAGAAATGTCTAAATGAAAGAATCAGAATTAGACAAAAGGCAAGCAGAGAGAGACAAAAACAAAACAAAACAAAACCTCAGGCTCAGTCCAGCATGGCTGGTGCCTTTGGTTCTAGCACTTAGGAGGTGGGAGAACTGCTTGGAGGACTGCCCAGGAGTTCCAGACTAAGTTGGGCAATGTAGAAGGTCTCCTCTAATAACAGTGAGAAAAATTTAACAGAATTTCAATGCAAAATAAGAAGCTGAATCAGGGATTGCTGTTTATCCTGCTGTGTAGAAACAAGTGTTGACTCTATTGATCATTACCTTAAAGCCTGTTAGGATGTCATTTTTATAAAAGGAGTGCACTTGCCTAGCACTTGAGAGGCCCAGTGTTTGATCTCAACACACACAAACTGCATACACACAAGAAGATATATACTTGTTGAAGACATAAAAGAAGGTATCTCAGCTGGGTGTTGGTGGCACACGCCTTTAATCCCAGCACTTGGGAGGC